ACCCCATTGAGCCACGACTGCGAAAATGTTAATGATGAGAGAGAAATCGAGAAATCGAGGCAGTAAATCGATATATGGCACAGATATTGACGAATCTTATGGCGAATATGGGCTGCAATTAGTATATAAGATAGCCAAACAAAAAGAAACAAAAATATATAGAAAAAAGGAAATGTTATAAGTCTTAGTCGAATTAGCACTCCCTGATGAGCGTTAGGACTGTGTGTGTTTGGGATACCCGAATTCTTGACTCGAATCATGCGATCAACCTAACTTAGAGTATACCCAGATATATGTATATGTATATGTACATGTATATAGATGTGCGTGCATGATATATGCATAGAAACACTTACTTTGATTACGATTAGTGCAAAGAAGACTCCACTCTCTTTAGTATGTACATATTGTACGGAATTTTTGTCTTTCAATCGATTAAACCACATTATACATTAAATTTATTCTGCCTAAACAAAAAGAAAACGAAAAAGAAAAAAAAGAAAAATAAACACCCGCCTTGCAATCTCTTTAGCGAAGTACATTGCGCCTGTGTAAGCTAAATTAAAACGGAAAGCAATCTGAAGTACATGAAACCTGATGGAAGACGAATGGAAATTTCAAGAAAATCGGCAAATTTTATGCATGTTCAAATGTTAGTTGATAGTTGAAACAAAAACAGAGTATTTAGCGAGTAAGTGTGCTAAACAAAATGAAATGAATAGATTTAATTGCATACGGTATGTATGTATGTTCAAGAAAATGATGAATAGATGTTGAAGAAGAAGCAGCAGATGTTCACATACTTATGGGGTTTTAAGCCCAAAAATTGCGGTAAGCGTTCTTTTCTATTAGAACCATTTTAGTGTATTTCAAAGTCAAGGTAACTGTTCCAAAGCCTTAAATGCAATTAATTAACGCATTTACGAGTATATCCAAGTTACACACATACACAGACACACACACATACACATACACAAATTCATTGCTCTACTATACATATATAAATATATCTATATGAAATGCCCCCCTTGAGAAAAACCAAAACAAATGACAATTTTTGATGTAGCCTTAGAAAGTATATGCAAGAATTTACAGAAATGAAAATAGAGCATAAATTACAAAAAAAAAAAAAAAAACACAGTACATATATATATATATATTAGGGCTAATACTGAAAGGCATTTAACGATTCATTGTTCAAAAATCGAAAACCAAACAAAAACAAAAATGAGATTTATCGTAAATTTTGTCAGCGTATACTTAATAATTATTGTGGAAGCATTTCATCAAAATGGTGCCTTTATCAGTTATTGTTGTCGGTATTAAACAAAAGAGAGTAAACCCGAAAAAAATTAAATAAAATAAAAAATGAATAAAAATAAAAACAAAGCTAAATTAAAAAATTACATAAATTTATATAGTTAAGTACTATTATTAATCCATATTGCAGCACGTGCTATTTATAGTAAATGAAAAGAATTCAAATGAAAATCTGCAGTTGCGGGCTGTGATTTCTGCTCGAACATACACACACACACACACTCACATACACATACACATACACACTCATATATAT